ATTTAAGACAAGTGCTTTTCAGCAAGTGGAATGCCCTACTGTTGCTACTGCCAGATTTAAAGAACTTCTGCAACATTGGGCCATAGCTGATTTCTCAAAAAGTAAATGCATTCTTCAAATGTGAAGTGTGCCCTTTCAAGTGGACAGTCCAATAAAATGAATCAACATAATAGTGGCCATATTATGAACAGTATTCTATAACATACCTGTATTTAAATACATAGTAAGAATATATTCGTGCATTTAAGTATTATTTAAAGGATATTTATTTACTTATTTATTTGGGAGACAATACAGGCAGACAGACAGTGCTGGTTTACTCCCCCAGTGTCCCACAATGGACGGGGCTGGAATAGGCCAAAACAAGAAGCCAGGAACTCCATTCAGGTCTCCCCAATGATTGACAAGAATACAACTATTTGTGCTATCACTAGCTACCTCCCAGGGTGCACATTAGCAGGAAGCTGGAGTTGGGAACAGAGCCAAGATTCAAACCAAATACTCCAACATGGCATGTGGTAGATTAACTGGTAGGCAATAGGTCTGACCTAAATTGGTGAGATTTATTCATTTATCGTTTATTCTAAAAATATATACCAGCCATACCCTATATACCAATTACTGCTCTTAAGACACATGTGAGTACTAAGCAAGGAAAAAGCAGAAAATGGTCACATTCATGAAGCTTACATAGTATTTCTGTATATAGCTGTATATTGGTCTATAGCACTTTTTGAAAGTTTTACTACTATAGATTATAATTGATGTCATGCTGTCTTTTCAATTGTAGCGTTATGCACATCATTGACTATTTCCTGAAGATATGTTCTTAGAAATAAAATTATTGGGTCAAAACAATTATTGTCTCTAAGGTTCTTGACACAAATGCTCAAATCCTTCCTAAAAAGCTCAGATCTCTTCATACTCTTGTTACTTGGGAGATCCAGCTGGAGTTCCAGACTTTTGGCTTCCGCCTGGCCCAGTCCCAGCTCTCACAGCCACTTGGGGAGTGAACCAGCAGATGGAAGCTCTCTCTCCCTTTCTCAGTAATTCTGTCTTTCAAACAACTAAATAAAGCTTTTTAAAAAATGTTTCAAAGACACTCTGTTAATTAGAGTTAAGACCCTTTCTTCTTTGACTTCCTATAAGGTAAACTATCTGCTTATTTGGTATTATATTTTTAATTTATCAATTTATGTGCCATTATAAAATAGTTGATGAGTCCAGCCTTAGCCATAGCTGAGAGAGCAAACTCCTGAAAAAGCAATTTGTACCAATGCTTCTAAATTGCTGTTGCTTCTGCAGAACCTGAAACTATGCAAGGCTTGGCCCTAACTATTAAACTTATTTGCATACTTCCTATAACTGCTAAATAAGGAATATATTGTAAATGGAAAAAATTTAATATTTCTAGTTTTATCCTTTTGTCTGATTCACTTAGGAATTACTTACGAATAAAGTTTCATATTACAGGCTTTCACCATGGTAGTAATTAATTTCACAATATCAGGTTTTGTTTTTTCGGGTTTGATTTTTTTTTGAAGATTTGTTTATTTTATTTGAAAGGCAGAATAACACACAGAGAGAAAAAGAGGCAGAGAATCTTACATCCACTGTTTTACTTCCCAAGTGGCTGCAGCAGCCAGAGCTGGGCCTTCCCAAAGCCAGGAGCCAGGAGCTTCTTCCATGTCTCTCGTGGGTACAGGGACACAAGCACTTGGGCCATCTTCCACTGCTTTCCCAGGCACATCAGAAGGGAGCTAATGCCAGATTTTGTTTGTTACTACAAATAACACGTGGATTAAAAGGCCTTTCCTCTCTTTTTTTATGAAAAAAATGTTGTTTGTTTGAAAAGCCAAGCTTTTATTTGAAAAACAGGGAAAGAGACAAAAGAAAGAGAAATCTTCTATTCACTGGTTCATTCCCCAGTTGGCCAGGAGCTTCTTCTGGGTCTCCGATGAGGGTACAGGGGCCCAAGGACTTGGGCCATCTTCTACTGTGTTCCCAAGCCTTAGCAGAGAGCTGGATCGGAAGTGGAGCAGCCGGGATACGAACCAGCACCCATATGGGATGGCAGCACCACAGGCAGGAAGCAGCTTTACTTGCTATGCCACAGTGTCGTCCCCCCAGTGAGTAAGTTTTAAATCCCCTTTATTACCTATAATGACAAATGGAAAAACACCTTTCCATTTTAGGTACTTTGACCCTTGTAGCTGTTGGAAGATAGGATAAAATACAACAAGCTATATCTCATGCGACAAATAGTCATGGGAATGGGGGAAGGGACCCTAAGACATAGCAAGTGCTATTGAAAGTTAATTAGGAATGGGAAAGAGCATTTAAAATAAATTAATATAAAATGATTTCAAATTCTATAGTGTATAGAGGAAGAAAGCACATTTCACTGAGACTGGAAAATTAAAATGCTCAAAAAATTTATTGTAGCAAAAATATAGATTACATGAGGTAAATACTTGAGTGTGCTATCAGAAAAATAGAGAACCCAAAGTTTTAATCTGTTGAGTGATCTAGCACTTGAAGCTAAAAATTTGAGTATTTAATTTCCTCAATAAATCAGAAATAATACCTTAATTATAGCATTGAAAAGCTGTTTTAAAAAAACACAGCTGATATGAAAGCACTGTGCTGTTTCTATAAGGTGCTCGGGAAATTAATAACTCCTGTGATACCTATGGATTAATTTTTATTATTATAAACAATGCCTTATCATAGTCAAAGCACATGTATCTAAACATTCTAGCAAATGTGAAACTGTATGCTCACAGGTTTTCCTCAAAGACCTCCTAATCCAATAGCTCATTAGACAAAATTCCACCTTCTTTTTTTTTTTTTTTTGGATTTTTTTCTTTCTTTTTTGTTTGTTTGTTTTTAACTTTTATTTAATGAATATAAATTTCCAAAGTACAGATTATGGATTACAATGGCTTCCCCGCCCCCCATAACTTCCCTCCCACCCACAACCCTCCCCTCTCCCACTCTCTCTCCCCTTCCATTCACATCAAGATTCATTTTCAATTCTCTTTATATACAGAAGATCAGTTTAGTATATATTAAGTAAAGATTTCAACAGTTTGCACCCACATAGAAACACAAAGTGAAAAATACTGTTTGAGTATTAGTTATACCATTAAATCACAATGTACAGCACATTAAGGACAGAGATCCTACATGAGGAGTAAGTGCACTGTGACTCCTGTTGTTGACTTAACAAATTGACACTCTTGTTTATGGCATCAGTAATCACCCTAGGCTCTTGTCAGGAGTTGCCAAAGCTATGGAAGCCTTTTGAGTTCACCGACTCTGATCATATTTAGACAAGGTCGTAGTCAAAGTGGAAGTTCTCTCCTCCCTTCAGAGAAAGGTACCTCCTTCTTTGATGACCTGTTCTTTCCACTGGGATCTCACGTGTGGAGATCTTTCATTTAGGTCATTTTTTTTTTTTTTTTTTTTTTTCTGGCTTTCCATGCCTGAAATAGGCCTTTCCATGCCTGAAATACTCTCATGGGCTTTTCAGCCGGATCCGCATGCCTTAAGGGCTGATTCTGAGGCCAGAGTGCTGTTTAGGACATCCGCCATTCTATGAGTCTGCTGTGTATCTCGCTTCCCATGTTGGATCATTCCCTCCCTTTTTTATTCTATCAGTTAGTATTTGTAGACACTAGTCTTATTTATGTGATCCCTTTGACTCTTAGTCCTATCATTATGATCAATTGTGAACAGAAATTGATCACTTGGACTAGTGAGATGGCATTGGTACATGCCACCTTGATGGGATTGAAAATTCCACCTTCTTAACAAAAAGATCAAAATGGTAATAGCGTTCACCTCAAAGACCAGGCACCTCAAAGACCAGCTTCTTCCTGGTCTCCCATGTGGGTACAGGGGCCCAAGCACTTGGGCCATCTTCCACTGCCTTCCTGGGCCACAGCAGAGAGCTGGACTGGAAAAGGAGCAACCGGGACAGAATCCGGTGCCCATATGGGATGCCAGCACTGCAGGCAGAGGATTAACCAAGTGAGCCACAGCACCAGCCCAAGTTCTCTCTTTTCCATATAGCACACTCAAGTATTTACCTCATGTAATAGAAGTATAACAGGTAACACAAACTTTCTGTCCAAAACAGGAATACATTTAAATATAGGCTGTACATAAACTATGTAAATATTCATGCTCCTTTTTCAGGGATCTGAAAATTCTTCAGATGCAATGAGATATGAGGGTGTTTCCTCTGCAAAGTATAAGCAATTTCCAGAAGGTTATATGATACCCATAAGTCTCTGGAACATTTTCTCTGTGAGCATGGGATGGAATTCAGTTTTAGTACCTTATGAGGTATCAGAGAAGTTATTTTTCAGAGAGGGGTATTAAATCTAATATAAGCTGCTTTCTTATATTTCAGAGAAAATAAAACAGAGGTTGTATGGCCATAAAATTAATTGTGGTTCCAATGAAGTTTTCATTCTTTAAGCAGCATATGTATTAAGCATATTTGAAAACCTCTTTTCTGCCGGCACCGCGGCTCACTAGGCTAATCCTCTGCCTGCGGCGCCGGCACCCCGGGTTCTAGTCCCGGTCGGGGCGCCGGATTCTGTCCCGGTTGCCCCTCTTCCAGGCCAGCTCTCTGCTGTGGCCACGGAGTGCAGTGGAGGATGGCCCAAGTGCTTGGGCCCTGCACCCCATGGGAGACCAGGATAAGTACCTGGCTCCTGCCATCGGATCAGCCTGGTGCGCCGGCCGCAGCGCGCTGGCTGTGGCGGCCATTGAAGGGTGAACCAACGGGAAAAGGATGACCTTTCTCTCTGTCTCTCTCTCTCACTGTCCACTCTGGCTGTCAAATAAATAAATAAATAAAAAATAATAAAACCTCTTTTCTGATAACCAGTTATGAACCCTTGAAAAGACCCTATGGAAAGCTCAACAGATTTATTATTTCCCATGAGGGTAATTTTTGTTCCAAAAAGAACAGGAACAGAAAAGAATGAGAGAGGCACAAACTTTATTTTCCCCACAATTTAATATTGTAAAAAGACAGGAAATATAAAAATTATCAAAAAACATACTTATAGGTTCATTTGGAGGCTAAATAGTAAGACTGAAACTCTTCTTATAATTGATTTAAGGTAGAAAGTAAAAATAATATCAAAAACATGGCAGCTACAACTGTCCAATATAAAGCCCACCTGCAAAAGGGCAGGATAAAGTGAGCTAACTGAGCAAAAGTCCACATCATGGCATCAGTAATACAGGTTTAATGGTTCCGGTCCAAAAGGAGAATTATTTTGCATGCTTAGATTCCACTTCTTCAAGAATCCACTCGATGCCATTCAAAAAGCCAGTGAGACTTTCAGCCTCTGTATCCTGGACCTGTGGGTAGATGAGAGAGAATGCTGTCAGTAAGAAACTGAGTCCAGTATCTCATGGTCAGGAGGGGCACTTCTCTAGACACTGAAACAAGACAGGAGCTCAGCCATTGCAGGCATTTGGGGAGTGAACCAGCAGGATGTGTGCCCTTGGTATTATTCTCAATCTGTCTCTCTCTCAAAAACAAAACAAAACAGTGACTTTAGAATGCCATTTTGTTAGAGAGTATGATGAACAGGAAAGAAGAAAATCAAACAGAAAATAGAATGGAAAATAAAGTAAGATTTTTACCTCTAGGGAAGATAGGGCCTTACCATCCATGGGTGGTTTAGAAGATTCAGATGCAACTCATGGGCCAAATAAAAACAGGGCATTCTTTTGATACTTGCTTGAGAAATACAAGATAAAACCAGCATGGGTCTGCCTGAAGACCCAAAGGCTGGATCTGTCATTGCCATAATACGAGAATATTCATCTTGCCATTCATGTCCTAAGGAATGTAAATTTACACTGTTAACTTGCATCACTTGTAATAGTTTGAAAAATAATAAAATTTTAAAACAAGGGAACAAATTTTTACCAGCATCTGAACAGAACAAGCCGCTTCTACTGCTGGATTCATTTACATGCCTATATTCTTTAAAAAGTAAAAACGCTTTGGCATAGAAGATCTCCTCTCACAGATACTGTCACTAGCCCTTCTTTCAGAAAGCACTTACTTTCATAATTTAGGCAAACTATTAAGCCAAGCTTTTTTACCCAAACTGAAAATTTCTGCCCTTCATTGAGTGTTTAGATTCTTTACATTTTGTGGTAGGTAGCATCCTTTACTCTTTGAATGTTGGAGGAACCCGCAAATATGATGGAATATCAGCCCAGGATTAAACTTTAAGACACAACTGACATTAGGAAATGGAGATTATCCCCAGTGAGGAAGGTTCTGAGTAGGGGGAGTCATGGCGAGGAATTGCCAATGGCCTCTAGAAGCTGAGAGTAGCCCCTTGCTGATAGCCAGCTAGGAAACAGGGACTTCTGGGCAATAAGAAATTGAGTGTTGCCACTACCTTGCATGACTTAGAAGCAACTGTTCACCAGAGCCTTCAGAAAGGGATGCAACCCATATGATCTTAGCCATGAGACAACAATGAAGAGAAGCCAGCCCTACCATGTCCAGACTTCTGGCAGACAGAACTGTGAGCTAATAAGTAAGTGTTGCTTTAAGCCATGACATCTGAGGTAATCTGTTATATACCAATCAAAAATGAACAAACATTTAATGTAGTTGTCACCAGGGTGCACGTAAATCTACCGTGCGTCTCAGATGTTGACGAGTTAATCTGTTCTTTGTTCCTTTACATGGTTCCCCTCTTTGCCTGCTTTCCTTTGGATTGAGTCTTTTAACGATTTCATTTTATCTCCACTTCTGGTTTATTTAGTTACATTTAAGGATTTACAAAACTCTGGAGAATGGTCCAGGTCCTTGGGCCCTGAGCCCGCATGGGAGACCAGGAGGAGGCACCTGGCTCCTGGCTTCGGATCGGCGCAGTGCGCCAGCCGCAATGCGCCAGCCATAGCAGCCACTTGGGGGGTGAACCAACGGAAAAGGAAGACTTTTCTATTTCTCTCTCTCACTGTCTAACTCTGCCTGTCAAAAATAAATAAATTAATTAATTAAATAAATAAAACTCTTTTTTAACTTGCAACAGCCTAGTATTAAATAATATACCACTTCACATACAGAAGAAACAGTATGTTTCAATCTCCCCTATTGTAGGATGTGTTCTGTTATCATATATTTAGCTTTAAAACATTATACACCTATAATTCATTGTTATCTTTAACAAGATTATAAAAAATTAAAATTAGAAAAAATCTTTTATGTCAGCTATATTTTTCAATCCCAAGGAAAAATCATTTCATTTTATAGATGCAAATTTCTTTTCAGTGCCATATTCTTCTGCCTGGAGAGCTTCCTTTAAGATTTCTTGCAGTTCAGATTCACTATAAATCAATTTTTCTCAGTGCTGTGGGTTGAACACATCAGCCACATGTGTCCCAATTCATATTTTGGAGATGTAATCCCCAATACAACAATGTTAGGGGTCTTTTGGGAAAGCCTTGTGAATAAAAAGGGCATGCAGAAGAGAGTTCTCTCTCTCTCTCTAGTTCTTCTATACATCCATTCCTACAGCCCTTTCACCTGCGTCGTGTGAGGCTGAGTAAGAAGGGCCCCTCACCAGATACCACATACCAGCACCTTGAATTCAGACTTCCAGGCCTCCAGAACCATGAGAAATAAATTTCTGTTCTTTACAACTTATTCAGCCTGCAGTATTCTGCAAGCTTTGTTTCTCTGAAATCCTTGAGTTTGCTGTGGTTTTTGAAAAATGTCTTTGCTGGTTTTAAGATCTTTCCCTCTTGCAGTACTGAGCTGCAATGACTTCCTTTCATTGCCTTCTAGCAGCTCTGTGAGCAAGTTTGCTGTCATTGTTATGCCTGAACCCCTGTATTTGTATGCATGTTTCCTTTTTCTCTGACTTCCTTCAAAAATATTTTCTTTAAAAAAATTAAAAAAAAAAACACCTTCTCTTTATCTTTAGTTTTCATCAATTTGATGATGATGTGCCAACTTATTTTAATGCTCCTTTCTGAGTGTGCCAACATCCAAACCATCTCTGGGTTTGGTTCAACTAACTGCCTTATCTCTTGACAATGTGCTAATTCATTTTGACTTTGTTAGTGTCTTATAATTTTTAAATTTAATGCCAGATGTCCTATGTAGAACTGCAATAGACACTTAGGTAAAGAAGACTTACTCTCAGAAACCAGCATGCTGCTGCTTTTTTTTTTTTTTTCGAGGCAGAGTGGACAGTGAGAGAGAGAGACAGAGAGAAAGGTCTTCCTTTGCCGTTGGTTCACCCTCCAATGGCTGCTGTGGCCAGCACACCGCACTGATCTGAAGCCAGGAGCCAGGTGCTTCTCCTGGTCTCCCATGTGGGTGCAGGGCCCAAGAACTTGGGCCATCCTCCACTGCACTCCCGGACCACAGCAAGGAGCTGGACTGGAAGAGGAGCAACCGGGACAGAATCCGGCGCCCCGACTGGGACTAGAACCCAGGGTGCCGGCGCCTCAGGCGGAGGATTAGCCTATTGAGCCACGGCGCTGGCCCAATGCTGCTGCTTCTGTTAGCCCATTAATGCAGTGAGTTAAGTCAGACCCACCGATAGACTGGTAGTCAATGCAGATCTGTCTTTTATCACCATAGCTAACTTCAATACATAGACTTTAAATTCTTTGAGCAGTGGGCAGCTGCTAAGTTGTTCTGAGTGGCAAGCTAGAGTACCAGAGTTTCTACTCTCCTCTCAGTTTTTAGCAGATCTTCAGTTCTCCATAGCTTTTCCCTCATCCCTATAGTCCACTACTGCTTGTCAGTTAGTAGGAATATGGAAATTTCTCAATTTTCTTGTCACTGCTTCTGTCCTAGGTAAGCCCTATGTAAGCCTCAGAGGTAGGGGGCCTTTCCCGATGTTTCAGCATGACTGCTGAATTCTGCCCTGTATTGGCAGAAAAGTCTCCAATGCAAATTTTATGCCCCACCCCAAGCCAGCAAATATCTATTATGTCAGCACAGGATCATTGCTACAGGTGGAATCGCTACCCTTCTTTCCCTAGGAATAGACAGCTTTGGCTTCTAATCCTCTCTCCAGCAGCAGTCAACTTTTGCCTGCAACCTGGAGGCCAGAGGATTTCCTATCTGCATCACCAGTGGCAGACAGCTTTGGTGTCATACGAGAAAAGTACATGGAAAGCAAAAGGATTTACCAACCCACGCGGTAGCAGCCAATCAACCACATGCATGCCTGCACCACCATGCAGGATACTCAGTGGCCCCTGCTCTATCACTGACCTCTCACATGAGCACTCAGTAGAGGCCAGAATCAGAGGGAGGTGAGGCTGAGGAGTGTAGATTCTCCTTGCATCTTATAATTTTTTTAAAAAAGAATTTGTTTGTCTATTTCTTTCATGGGGTATGTGGAGAGCAGACTGGAAAACAAAATAAAAGTAGGGACTGCCTGTGTTCCAATTCCCAATTATATCCCTAGAACTGCATACTGTACCCTACCTTACTGAGAACTTAACTATTGGTTGAATAAATGAATTCATTTTATAGTGCTTCTAACTTTTTTCTTTTATAGATAGCTCTGTAATAGCAAAGTAATTTATGTCTTTCTAATAAATAGCTTTTCCAGATCTCCAAAGTATAATTGCTCTCGTGCCTAACAGATCATAGAAGAAATAAATTCAATAGAAATTCAAGCCAGTGCATTAAAGAACTGTATTATTCTATATATACAGACATGTATATATGTGCAACTAAAATACATAATAAATATATAAATGTTATATATTTATAGTCTACCTTATTCACAAAGGATTTGGAAAAAATTCTAAAACTGGCCTGTGGCCCAGTGATATTGTGATTTCATACCTAAATAGTGTTGTCAGTGGCAGTTATTTAGAATACATGGAGAGCATTCTCAACTAAACTACTTAATAAAATATTTTTATTTAATTAACAGCTCACCACCACATTTCTCTACTATGTGGGTGAAAACAAAGTAAAATTTTTCATAATTACCTGTATAAATTTTAAATAAGGCAAGAATCAGACAAAACAATAGTAACAAAAACTTTGAAGCCTACAACAAAAGATTAGATTTACACTGCAGTATCCCATTTTGGTACGCAACAGAATTCACTGGGTGCTTACAAAAAAGAAATGCCCAGGACACAACCCAGATCCATGAATCAGAATCTCCCAGGGTCGAAACCAGGCAGCTACATGTTTAACAAGCTCCTTTCATGATCCTAATGCACACCAAGGTATGAGAAGCCATTATGAACAGAAACAGAGAATCACATTGAGAAAATCTGCCACCACATTGAAGAAGCCACGGTAAAGACTAAAAATGTATTTTTTGTTTGTTTCACAAAAAATGACACAGTGGTGTTTTTAAAATAAAATATTAGACTGCTTACTTTTATGAGCTTCAGCATTTGCAACGTAGATGAACCCATCCACAACTTCACACACCTTCTGAATTTGTGGAATCACACTGTACCGGCTTCCTTGCTGATCATCTCCTTCACTCTGTACACTGAACATCTTGTTAACTGCACTTGTATGCTCTTCTCTGGCTCTGTCTCTCTCTTTTCTACAAGGAAAATGTAAGCATAGAGCATGAAACCATTCTAAACAGGGTCCATCCCCCTAAAGACATTTCAGGAAGGCCACCCAGTAGGTAGCCTTACCTGGTAGTTGAATATAATATCAGGATGTTGAATTTATGTTGGTTGCTCAACTGAAAACTGACTCCTGATCCAATACCTAGTGGATAAAATTGCAGTTATCAAAACAAGACATTAGTAAATACAGAATAATATCAGACTTAAAAAAACTAGTGAGAATGAAAAGAGCAAAGAAAAAATTCTATGGCAAGCTTTACATACAGGGGCCCTTCAAAAAGTTCATGCAAAATTTGTATTATCCTTTAATTCAATTTTTGTTTAAACTTTTGGAAGTACCCTTGTAGCTTTGGAATAAAATGTAATGTTTAATGTTTATGTTGAAAAAAGATGCTGTATGCAATTTTCTTTTCTTTTCTTTTCTTTTTTTTTTTTTTTTTTGACAGGCAGAGTTAGAGAGTGAGAGAGACACAGAGAGAAAGGACTTCCTTCCATTGGTTCACCCCCCCAAATGGCTGCTACGGCCGGCGCACTATGCCAATCCGAAGCCAGGATCCAGGTGCTTCCCCCTGGTCTCCCATGCAAGTGCAGGGCCCAAGCACTTGGGCCATCCTCCACTGCCTTCCCGGGCCACAGCCGAGAGCTGGACTGGAAGTGGAGCAACCGGGACAGAACCGGTGCCCCAACCGGGAACAGAACCCGGGGTGCCAGTGCCGCAGGTGGAGGATTAGTCTAGTGAGCCACAGCGCCGACCCAGGCAATTTTCAATCATAAAGCAATAAAAATATGAATAGGCTTAAAACAGTACTTTATATCATTAAAACTATTATTAGCAAGTTCACCATCTTATCAGTAGCAGCTGTATTGCAACAGCTACTACCATTTATCTTCAAGACTAAGACTCATTTTCATATTTTATGTTTCTCATTAGGCTTACAATCCACATATACAGTCAATGAAAAAAAACCACCATGTTTCTTTTTCCTGAAAAGCTGTTTTTAAGTTGATAGAGAGTGACCAGTACATCAGAACACTGAGGAAATGCTGCGGATATTGAAATTTGGAAGTAGATAGACTTGGATTAGAATCTTTAAGCCATGTATTTGTAAACTTCAGTTTTGACACCAAGAATAGAAATAATATATATTTTTTAGCGTTTTTGTGAGGATAAAATAAAATCACATGTGTAAATCTCCTAGTAACCTGGCAAACAACAGGTGTTAAATATTAGCTTCTTACTATGTTATATCTTAGTCATTCAACACTGGTATTTGTCCTTTCTTAATCTCCTCCCTCCTTTGGTTGTTAACACTCAATGGCTTCTTCACCACTTGCCTCTTGGAAAGATCGTTCTCCACTTCCACAGCTCTACTTCTTGTTACATAAGAGTCTGTTTAAATCTACCTCTCTCCATCCCCATCCCCACTCTTCAGTCCAAATTACCATCATATCTTGCTTTGACTTCCACAATCACTTCTAAGAAGTCTCTTATATCATCCTGCCCCCTACGACTCTTTCTTCTGACAGTAGCTGGAGATTTTGCTAAATCACACTTCTCTAGTTATATCTCTTCCCTCCAAAGTCATTGCTCTTCAGATAAAAAACACAAAATTTTAATATAATCTGGCCCTGATTTACCTTGTTAGAGACAACTCTAGCCTTCGTACCCTTAATGCCTGTATTATAACAAGTCTGCTTGCATAAATAAGCTATACCATTCCATCTCATGCCTCCATTCTATGCAACACATGAACAGAACATTTGGGTGCTGGGACTGCAACCATCCCAGGCCACATCAACTCTAGTCCTGTAAATTACTCAGACTGGTGCATATACCTCAAGATTTGTTTTTTTTTTTTTTTAAATCTACTGTTTCTGATCTTTGTTTCCATCAGTATAATTCTTAGTGATTATCCTCTCGACATATATAACTGCTGAACAAGTACCCCATAGTATTCTATACTTCAGAGATGTAACCCATATCTTCTTTGACTTTGCAAAGTTTGAGGGATATTTAGACTGGCATTTTTATATAATCACTCAGTTGCTATGTAAAGCATGGAATTACCATTGCATAATCAGTAAATTCTCCAAGTTCCCAACCTCTTAAGATGCTCCTTCGACCTAGCAGCCTTACCTGAGCCTGGCCTGCCCCAGGTACTCTTCTCTTGAAGTGGACTCTCAAGTTGCTTATTTTCTCATACCTTCGGGTAAAGAGGTGGGGTTGATGTTTTCTTTACTCTCAATGCCATGTCTAAACCCTTACTCACCAACCCTATTTGAACTTCATCCATTTGAGAAACACACCATTTCTCCTTCTTTAACCTTGTAAGTCAGTCTCCTTTTAATAATGGCTCCCCCAAAACATTCACTAAAGATTTTATCACAACCATTCTTTTCATCCTCAAAAACTTCCAAGTCCATTTGGGCTCCATATGATTCCCAGATCTCAATGTCTAGCCTGGATTTGCTCTTGAGATCTGGATGCATAAAGCAGCAGTCATTGATTCATTCACCAAATACACATGGAGTGCCTACTATGTGCCTTGAACCACTGATACAGCTAAAAATAAATTGCTAAGATTCCTGTTCCATTAAAGTAGAGTACTCAGAGTAGGCATGTCTACTTGGATCTTCTACACAGTTATCAGTCAACAATACTAGAAAGAAAAGCTATTGTTTTCCTTTTACAGATCCTACCCTGCCCCCAACTTTCTCTGACCCCTTCAGTGATTCCTTATTTGCTCGAACAGCTCTATCATCCAAGTGGAAACTCAAGTCAGAAACCTGGAGCCAGACTTTTTACTGCTAATACATGATGCACTATCAATTTTAGAGCCTTTACTTTCATCTTCTATTATCACTTAATTCAGACCCTCTTTATATTTTTAATCACAATAGTATAGTGGCTTCTTAATGTGTCTCTATTCCTTTAGCCCTTTCTAATTAATTCTTCACTCAGGAGCCAAAGTAATCTTTCTAAAACATAATCCTAATCATCCCAGTTCTCTACTCAAAATCCTTTAGTGACTCCAAAATGCTTCAGTGCTTCAACACAAGGCATAACTGCCACCTAGCTCCACTCTTCCTAGACATACAGGGCTTCTTCAAGTGTGTGCTACACATACAGAGCTTTGTGCTCTTAGATATGTCATTCTCACTGCCTAGAATACATTTGGCCTGATCTTTTTATGATAGCTACTCATGTAAGGAATCATCTCCAATGGAGAGCCCTCCTTGACCCTTCTCTCTACTCAGGAGCTAACTGCATCATATTCTAATCATTTAGAGATCTTTGTCTATGTACTCACTTAGAGACCAACTATCTTCAGGGCAGTTTTTTCGGTTTTGTTTGGTTAGTTTTTGGGTTTGTTTCTTAGAGAGATGGTGAGGGGGTAGAGAAAGAGAGGGTGCATTCCTATTCACCAGTTCACTCCCCAAATGATCATAACAGCTGGGGGTGAGCCAGGCCCACAACCAGGGGGTTGAAATTCAATCTAGGTCTCCCACATGGGTGGCAGGAATCCAATTACATGAGCCATCACAGCTGCCTCCCAGTGTCTGTACAGGTGCAAATCCAGAGTCAGCAGCTGGAGTTGGAAATCACATCAAGACACGCCAATAGGGGACATGGATATCTTAACCCTAGGTTAAATGCCCACTCCCAGATTTTTGATGTTGTATTTTCTAATTTCTGAATAAGTAAATCATAATCAATTACACTGTTTATTACATATTATATATCCTGCTTTGCCAAATAATTACACTGTTAAGTATTTTGCATATAAAGAGGGAAAGATAATGATTTAACTCTACTTTGAAATTCCAGTAGTTATCACAATACTTTGCACATAAATGCTAAGTATTTTTTGCTGATAATCTTTGAAGATATGGTAGAGCAGTATCACTATATGAACACAGCATGCTGATAACATATGCTTTACTTTACATAATGTTAAATTCTAGAAGACACAAATTTGAGGAATAAAGAGGAAACATATTTCTTATAATAAGTAAATTAATTCTTTCAATTCAGTGGAACCTGGGGGCTCCCATCTACCAAGTTATTACATTTCATTACAATGAAAAATTTCAAAATTAATTTCTTTCTCTTTAACACCAGTGTCAAACTCTAAGTGTTTGAAATATGATGTACGGTACATTAACATGAAAATTACCATCAATCTGCCTCTGTGGCAAACCAGCTGTCGGGCAAAGTTCCTCAGAAGACATCAAGCTCAACACCAAAGATGTATTCAGTTCTTCCAAACCTGGTCCAAACATAGCAAACCGTGGCTCGTTCTGAATGATCAATGAGTGCAAAAAAGAGGTGACAGCTCCATACACAGGGCGGCTGGATTTCAAGGCTCTTCTTGTATATGGACAGCACATTTTATAGCTGTGTAAAATTTTAGCAGAAAACAAATACACAAAACTTAGCCAGAGGGTCATCCAACAGGTTTCATTTATTGAGTGCCTGTTAGAGACAAGGGACACAATGACTAACACAGTCCCAAGTCTCCAGGACAGTGGGGGGCAGACATCATTCTAGTACTTGCATGCATGCAGGTTATGGTGACAAGGAAACGCACAAGGTACTAAGAGGGTGACAGTAGCCCAGAAACTGAGGAAGTCTTCCCTTTGGAGTGGCTGTTTGCTCTCTGATCTTCCATTGAGAGTCTCTGCTGCAAGACGTGATCTAACACTTGTTTGGTCAAAATGCACCAGAGCAGTGGTTCTCAACCTGAGGAGGTCCACACCCTAGCCCACCCCAGAGACGCCTGACAGTGTCTGAACAACATTTTCAGTGTCACAACTTGGGAAGAAAGTGGTGCTATGAGCATCTAGTGGGTGAAGGCCAGGGGTGCTGCTGACCATCCTGCAATGCACACGACACCCCTCTCACATCATCTGGTCCAAATTATCAGTAGTGCCAAAACTGACAAGTCCTCCACTAAAGACAGGCCATACCGAAAGTTTCTATAAAGGTTACTATCACCAACAGATTACTGATGGCACCAATATAGCCAAATGTCCTGTGTCCCCCTATTAACAACCTCAAGAAAACCTAGCAAACATTCAGTCCGTTTCAATGGCTATCAATCTCTAAATTAGCAATTCTACAATTTCTCAAAAATTAAAAGTTACCCAAATCTCAATAAAACCTAAAACCCTTAAAATAAATCATGCTAGCTAAGACAATCACTAACGACGAAATCATCTTTCTTAGGAACATTGTAATTCATGAAGGAAAATAAAATCAGCTTTAAAGCAGAGTCAGCCCGGCCAAAGCTGACCACTTTAACTCATCATAGAAGGCACTCAGAATCTGAACTTTGGTTCTTTATCTGCATTGTTCAAGCAGTAACAATCACCCAGGGTGGCAAAGATTAGTGATAACCGGTATGATCATGAACGGTGTTTACTATAGTCATTACTATCCCCTAAAGAAAATGATTGCACAGCATCAGATACACGAAGCCATGGCCACCCAGTGGGGCACTGCAGAGGTGCTGCCCAGCAAGTGGGACACAGTGGCACATGCTGACATTAAATATAGCAGATAATGTACATTTAGATCAAATAGCCTCACAAGGCCTGACAGAATGGCCTGTGGCTTGAATAAGGAAAAACTCAGAATAACTTAAATTTTCGTGGAAACCAATCCTGTATATAGCTACAGAATCTAACACAGCAAAACAATTCTTACCTAAAGCATAAATATTATCTTAATTCCTTACAGTGGCTTATTTGGGGTTCTTAATAAAGCAGGTTACATGCAGATCCAGCAACATACGTATCTTTGAGGCAGCCATGTATCTTTGAGGGGTTTCAATCTGAATTAGAAGCTATTGTAACCTTCAGCAAATCACATACCCTTTCTGGCATGTGATTTTTAATTTTACAACTTAATTTTAATTGATTCTTAATTTTCCAACTGCAACACAAAACCAAAACCTTGCAGCCTGCGAATTCAATGAGTAAATGCACAGAACGCACGTGCCGAGGAATGCACAGCACTGCAGTATCAGATGATGTGCATTCTCTCACATACGTGACACTAGAAAGCCTCACTGCTTGGGGTGAAACAACATCTTATTTCTCAGAGCCCTCAGAATGGTTTTCTTCTCAGCCAATGAACTGCTCTCGGATCTCTGGCCACTCCTTTTCTGGATATGGAAAAGTATCCACTACCAAACAAAATGCCAAGCATTCTAAGATAACGGGAATTTTTGTAAGTGTTTTATGTCTTGCCATCTATACTACCCATAATTATTCAAAAACTGTTTAGGCGCTTGAGGGAAATAGAAAATGTTAAAACTGAAAGGGTCCTATGAAGGAAGTCATTTGACTCAATCCCTAATTTTGACAAAAGGACACTGATCCAAAACCATGCCACAATTATCAGCAAAGCCAAAACAAACTTGGACTGTCAATCAGTAACACAGTAAAATTTAGTATGTCTAATTCATAAAAGTAGATACTTACACGGCCATGTAGTCAAAACATGCACTATCAGCGACCTCAGAGATGGGCTTTTTTACGATTTCTAGATCTGGAAGCGACTTCCAGTCAACAGAAGACCACCTAGGAAGATCTCGCAAGAGAAAAAATCTCCACAGAATTGGATCTCGTACAGTTTCATTCCAGTAATGATTTGTGCTTCCCAGCTGACACAGATCATGAGGAGAGAGAAAGGACAATATGTAAAGCTGTACGTCGATCTGAAACAGAAGCAAGCAGCCGAGAGGGGAGAATGAATGATTTACCTCAGAAAATTGTTTCATAAGCTATACAGTGAACAAAGAATGATACTAAATACCTGCAGGGTAGTATCTTGCATGGTTCAATCTGCCATTCTGTAGCTGTTCTACCATCAGGAGAGTCTTAACTGAACCATTCCCCACACACTGAAACACTTCTACAAATCCAATCAGGTCCTCTCCTCATGGATATTTTTATACATCATTTATTTAATTAAGGAAATCATTTATTCAAAATCAAGCCTTCATCTACTCCTTATGGTTTTTAATTTAAGGCACTTGTAATGCACTGATTTTCCATTGTGTGGCGGTTCTGTTAACTTCAAACACACGGCTCCCGCTGCGATGTCAGGAGAGCATTTGCTTTGGTTTCTACACGGTGGGCCTGGGCTGAGGGATGCTCAGAGCACCCAAGCTTCCCCGAGCTAACCGAGACGTCAGGCGGGGCTTCTATTTCCTGCAGGCGTCCTGGTCCCACGTGCCTGTTTTACGGGTAGAAAACCAGGTGATCTGGCTGGCCAACCTGCCCAGCTAGGGAGCACCAGGGGTCACGGCCACCGCCTGTCGGGTCAACTCTTGTTGGTGACAACCTCTGTGGGGAACGGCAGCCTGGGCAGGGACAGACCCAGGCCCCCAGCGACCTCCAGGGGGCGGCTCTTCCTGTCCCGGCCCGGCCCGGCCCGACCGTCCTCCGCGGCCCGCGCTCACCGGCAGCCTACTCAGGGAGCTGGCCTCCTCCTCCGCCTCCTCGCGATCGGCCGTCCTCGCCGCCCTCTCCTTACCCACCGACTGCCAGAAGTTCCTCCAGCCGCTGAGGATGGCGGCCTCCAGGCGGCCCCAGTCGCTGGCGGCCGGCGGCGGGGAGCTGGCTCCGCTGCGTGGCTCGCTTCCTGCCATGGTCACCGGCCCGGCGTGTGACGCGCCGCAGGGCAGAGCCCGCGCGGCCGCCTGCGCCCTCGCCTCTCCCGCCCCGGCAGGGTTAGGCCTGCGGAGCTGGCGGGGCCCGGAAACGGCCCCGCGGGGCCGGGCGCCTGGAGGCTCCGCCAACAGTCACTTCTCTGCTGCCCCACTCACTTCTGGCCCCAGGCTGAGCCATGCCGGCCTCACCCACCGCTCTAAAACCTCCTGCCCTCGCCAAAACGGTCTCTGTCCGAGCGGGGGCGACGCTTGCTTCGGCAGTAAATGATCCAGGCCGCTATCCTGGGCTTAATAATCAGTTCTTCCCTCGCAGCACTGCCGTACTAGGCGTTTTGGCTTTCTTTAATCGTGTTTTTTCAACCAACAATTTACTGTTCGTTTTCTTAGGGATTAGCAAAAGCTGGGATTAGCGATGCAGTGGGGATCCCTATCATAAATGACTTTATGTTAAATGAGTCTAGTCCAACTATACAAAAAATATTTTTTTAAAAAAGCTGAACATATCTTATAAAAGGACAGCAAAAAAATGGCTAAAATAATAGAACATGAATATTAGCTAATTACCCGTTGGGAATGACTTTAAATCAGATTTTGTGGATATCTATCCATTCTTAAGGATGGAATTTTAAAACCATAGGATTGACTGAAATGTGCAGTTATCACAGGGTATAACAGATGCTGTCTTGCTCTTTCATGAATAATCCTAGGATTTTAAATTATATATTTAATACAACAGTAAACTAAAATATTCTCCAACACAAATCTAGTTTAGAAACTGCTGTCTTTGATTACATTAAATAGGGTGATCTATTGAAAATGACTCACGTAGTACTAAGTATTTGTAACTACCTGAGGAGACCATACCCAATTCTATGTAACAGATAACTTGTAATTGGTCTCTGATAGTTTCTGAAAGCCCTTTGAAAGAACAAGTGAGTATAATGGGCATCTGTCTTGAGAAGAAAAAAAAAAACACTGGGATTGTGATCTTATCCTATCTGGCTATTCTTCTAATCCTAGAAGATTCTGTCTATTCTTATTCTAATATTCCTCTGCTTAAAAAATAGGACATTAAAAGGTTAACTTACATCAATTCACACAGGAATTGACAGGGCTGTGAATTTAAACTCAGACTTCCAGCTATAGGGTCCACAACCCAACCACTAATCTGTCTGAAAGTTATTAGGGCCTATTCTTTAACATTCAGAAGTTGGGATAATAGGGGCCTGTGTAGCAGTGTAGCAGGTAAGCTGCCACCTGTGATGCCGGTATCCCGTATGGGCGCTGGGTTTGATTCCCAGCTGCTCCACTCCCAATCCAGCTCCCAGCTAATGGCCTGGGGAACGCAGCAGAAGATGGTCCAAGAGCCTGTGTCCATGCCACCCACATGAGAGAGGTGAAAGCAGCTCTGGCTTCTGGCTTTGGCCGGGCCCAGACCCGGCTCTTGCGGCTATCTGGGGAGTAAACCACCAGGTGGAATCTCTCTCTGTCTCTTCCTCTCTCTTTGTAACTCATTTTCAAATAAATAAATAAACCTTGAAAAAGTTAGGATAATAAACTGAGATGATAAAAATTCATTCGGACACAACCACCAAATACAGAAGAAAACAGAAAAATAAGAGAAACATGGTTTTATTATTTTTTTTAATGTGTAGGTTCTAAAACATTTTACTTGGAAATTTTCACAAGTAGGAAAAACAAAAACAATAAAGAACACCAACAAGAATACATATTACATACTTCAATTGTGGCTATATTAAATGTATATTAATATAATACTTCCATAACATGGTCTCATCCCATATTGTATTTAAAATGAAGATACAGGGAAATGGGAGAAAAGTATAGAATCCTGGATTCTGTGGCAGTTGGGGCACCCTTATTGGAGCCAGCAAAGGGGCCCCAAAACATGGAGAAAGACAAGCAATCTAAACCTATCATGTCATCTAGCTGTGGGGTTTTTCAAATGCCATTACAATGAAACTGGGATAGCCTGCAGACAAACATAGCTCACTGTGTGTACTGTGAATGCACACCAGAGAACTCACAATGGGACTGTGAAACCAGGAATGTAATTTCATTGTGGGGTTTCAGCTCTGATTCTCACCTCACTCTACCGTACACAATCCTCAGTCAGGATTTTTCACCTTCATCAGGATCAAATAGCAGTCAGAATCCCTATCAGTGCAGCAAAGCAGGCAGAGCTCTGAGTTTCAAAGCCTAGGTAGTTTCAGAAAATCCAGTTTGGGAAAGAACAATACAAAGTTAAGGATCGTGAAAAGTCCTTTAACAGAGTTTAAGTTTTAGCAACCCTCAGAGAATTCAAACTGGAGAGAGACAGACCAAGTATAAGAAACACAGTGTGGCCTTCTGGTTATCAGTCACCTATTAGTAAAGCACACACTGGAGAGAATTCCTTTAAAATGTAACCAAAATGATGTGGGCTTTAGTGACTTATTCCTTAATGCAGTATTTGAACCTCCATAACAGAGAAAAACCACAAATGTAGTGAAAATGCAAGGCATTTGACCTAGGGAGTGGAATTTGAAGACACAAATGCTAACGCAGCCAACAACCTCTCTAAATAAAACAGCACCAGTCCTGCACCACCGGGGCCCCTTAGCCTGCTTTATTCTTCTTCATGGCACTCATCACTTGACATGTAATACATGGATTTCTCAAAATATTCAAATGTCCTCCACTAAAATGCAAGCTCTGAAGGAGAAAAGTGTTTTACAAAGCTACAAGTATTTCCTCAGGGCCTAGGACAAAATCTGGCACCTGGCAGGCACAGAATTTTTGAAGAACTGTAATACATTCTTTAGGCTAAATATTTGGTATCTTGAGATTACTCATTCTAAATCAAATTTACTTAGAGGGCTTTATCTCACACAAAGATGTGTTGTTCATTGTCTTACAATGCACCAGAGTAAAAAGCATTATATTATTAACTGTTATGGTCTATAAATTTTGTCAGTTGTTTGAGGGATGGAAAGTTATACGAAAAGCACCCAGTACGACCCTCAAAACTGCACCAATTCACTGAACCAGTCGATTGTAACTAAATCCAAACGTCCACAAGGATCATAAAGGCAAAAACCTAAGATACTAGCTTTTGAAAAGTAGTTCTTGCTTTCTCAGATTCGGAATCCAAGTAATCTAGGGCTCCTCTGAGGATTGTTTGATCTGCATTTGCCCTGTCAGCCACTGAGGGCTGTATAGATCCGTGGTTGCCTTGTCAGGTACGGCAGTATGGAATCCAAAAGCAGCAACATTTTTGTGCAGTTTGGCACTTTGAATCACTCATTCCTCATTAATTAAAACACACACACACACACACATATACATTACTAAGTGCCCACTATGCATAAAGTGTTATATATAAAGGTAAATTTTTAAAATACAGAGTTCACCAACTGTAAGGAAAGTAATTACAAAGCAATGTGATCAGTGTGATAACTTGGGAGAGGAAGACTGAGGGAACAGATTGCGGAGTATCTAAGATTGAAAGAGCCTACAGACACAACTTCACTGAAGCTGAGTCCTAAAAAGAGAAGTACTCACTTGGCAGCAAAGAAAGGTGCAGAAGTAATGACATCTGCAAGGGTATTTACTGAGTTTGAAAAAACACAGGCGCATGTGAGGAAGGAACTGGGAGTACTTAATTGACAGTTTGTGATTCTAAAGACCATGTTTAAAAGGATCTAAAGGAGTAAAAGAGTTTAGCCTAATGGTTAAGAGATCAATTAAGTACTCCTAGAATGGAATACTGGGGTTCAATTCCCAGTTCTGGCCCCTGACTCCAGCTTCCTGCTATGGCAGATCCTAGGATGCAGCGGTAAATAACTAAATTCCTGTCAACCCATGGGGGACCTGGATTGAGTTTTGAGATCCTGAATTTGGCCCTGGCCAAGTCCCAGTCATTGCAGGCATCTGGGGAGTTAACCAATGGATGGAAATTCTATTCTATCTCTTTGCCTCTTGAATAATAAATTTCAAAAATTTTTTCAATGATATCTTTATATTTAGAAAGCACAAAGATATTTTCATAATAAAACCTGTTAAAATGCTACTTGAAATACAAATCTTCTTGGCTGTATAAGGATAAACAAGGGCAGGAATGGGGAGAGATTTCCCCTTGCTCCAAAGGCTCTATAAGAATTTGTATGTTTATTAAAAAGGAGCCTGGTGTTCAATGTCTACGTAACACTGAACTAGAAGATGATCACACAGGATGATGATAGAGATGAGGCTGGGAAGGTCAGCATTCTATGTTGCCTGCTCTGCAGAAGACCCAAAAAGTAGAAAACAGTTTCAAATTACTATGAGACATCTAACTGAAGCTACTGAATAGGCAGTTAGAAATTTAGAGATCAAGACAGAAGCTGGGATTCAAGTTACAGTTGTGGGGGTCAACCTGATACTCTTGGGTAGTACAAAGACCCAAATCTGAGGCTGGCACTGTGGCATAGTAGGTTAAGCTTCTGCCTCTGGAGCTGGCATGCTACATGGCTGCCCATTCAAATCCTGGCTGCTCTGCTTCCAATCCAGCTCACTGCTAATGACCTGGGAAAGCAGTGGAAGACGGTCCAAGTGCCTGGGCCCCTGCACCCACATGGGAAACCTGGAAGAGGCTCCTGGCTTCTGGCTTTGGATGGGCCCAATTGGGGCCATTGTGGCCATTTGGGGAGTGAACCAGTAGAGGTTAGACCTCTCTATCTCTCCCTCTTGACTGTAACTCTGCCCCTCAAATAAACAAATAAATCTTTAAAAAAGAAGAAGAAGAAAAAAAAGAGAGTCCCAAGTCTATGAATGGCATCACATGTGAAGAGTACTTAAAGTTAGAGGAAAGGGGAAGGGCGGAGGACAGAAGCCTAGTGCAGATCAATATATAAAGGGTGGGAAAAACTGAGAAGCCACAAGGGAAATGAGATAGCCTAGAAGAAACCAAATGCATAGAGTGGCCTTCTATGGGAAGAGGCAACCTCTTTTCTTCTAAAACTGGTACATGTGTGTTGGTCCATCTAAGAATCTCCATTTTCAGCATGGCAGGGCAGGCCATGTGCTGGGGAGGGGAACAGAGCCTGAGGAAAGAGAGTTTGCCTGGGCCACAGTGGGAAAGGGGGGACAAGGTGGCCTGGCAACAACCAGAAGGCTTACATGAGGGCTCCTCTGAAGCTGAAGCAAGACCCTTGTGATGAGTCCACCTTGAAGGACAGCATGTCCTTCCTGCAGAACTCATCAGGCCAAGGAAGACAGATCATAATGGTTTACAGGATGACTAGGCTGAAGGATGATGGGAGATCAACAACGTGTGACAGTGGTTCAAACAGGGCTCCATAAACCTGGAAGGGGATCATGGCTTAGGAGGGAGAGGAGCAGTCAAGAAAAAAGGTTATGAAGAAGCCAAAACCTACACAATTGAAATCAAGAAAT